TCTGCCGATGATCGCGTTGGGCTGTCAGATGTAAAATTTTACGCGTTTCTCGCGGCTTGTTGTGTGTTGAACATTGTCAGACGAGGGCTGCTGTTATTCTGTTTCGTTTGGTTTCGTTTCCTTCGTAGTCCCCCCCCCCCCACCACCATCGCGGCTGCTTTAGTTATCTACGCTGTGGACCTTGGTGGGGCGCTGGCTGGCCGGGCAGTTGATCTCGAGCAGGAAAAAAACGGGCGTGGGTAGTGCAGCAAAGCCCAATGAATCGCTGGCCGGCCGGGCGGTGGATCTCAAACAGGAAAAAAGGGGCATCGGTCCAATGCTCACCAAAGGTGCAAATTGAGAATAATCTTACACTGGAACATTGAAATTTACACCGCCATACTTTGTCTTTTGCGGATGTGGTGAGGAGTGGAGCGAGCGAAAACAAAATAAAAATAGTGGACCGAGCCCTACCGTCTTCTCCCCGTTAACAACTTTTGAAGGTTGAAACGAAATTGTGAATCAGTCGTTATGGAGAACATATTCTTCGATCTCTGATGCAGTCTTCTTATACCTTTATCTCACCTCGTAGGCCGAAGGTGGCGCCATTCGTCTATACGTTCCATCTTCATATGCTAGATCCAATATGACTAGGAGTCAGTCGAGCAGGGCCGGTCAGTTCAATGATGATATCTCAAGGCCGCGGCCCCGAGGAAAAGAAAAGAAAAGAGCAGCTGCACTCTGGGGCGTGAGAGCGCAAGACTCAGTCCCAGTGTGGGCACGAATCTTACGCTACAACCTGGAAAGATGCATTGCCATAATTTTTGTCTACTGTGCATTTGGTGAGTAGTGCGTTGAGGCCCTATACCCAGTGAAAGAAATGGCCAAACCAAGCGACTACATGGCCGCTGTCCCTATTTAAAAAAAAAAAGCGGCCGCTGTCCCTGTTTTTCTTGGTGAATGCTGAGTAGTAACCAATGTTGTTCGTAGACGGAACAAACGGACGGATCTGTGCGTGTGTAAATGATGTATATTCTTGACTGGCCGGGGGAAGAGGAGGAGGGGGTTACACCGCCAGTACACGGACCCAGTGTTGCATGCTGCGCCTGCAACAGGCTGCACGGGCCATTTTCAGGCCCGTGTTGTTTTCAGCCTAAAAGCCTGAAAACAAGGGCCTACAGGCCCCGTGTTGTTTTCAGCCTGAAAGCCTGAAAACAAGGGCCTACAGGCCCCGTGTTGTTTTCAGCCTGAAAGCCTGAAAACAAGGGCCTACAGGCCCTGTGTCGTTTCAGCCTAAAACAGGGCCTCCAGGCCCTGAGTCTTTTCAGCCTGAAACGGAGGGCCATTTTCAGGCCCTCATAAGATCGGCCTGCCCTGAAACGTAGGCACCAGACCAGGGTCTTAGCTCAGGCCATTTTTGGCCATTTTTCAAGACAACCTTTGTTTGAGCTTCAACCCCAGGGTCTGGCACGTTTTGGCATTGGCAAGAGCAGCCTCCTGGACGGGCCAGCACTATATAAGACTGGCCCGCCCTGCAGGCTGCAGGTAG